TCATGAAAAAGACTTTGGTATAGGGTATTTATACTATACCCTAGACCCTGATTGTTCTTGGATTCAAAAATAGCTATAAACTCTCACTGTGGAATCAGCTCTCTGCCAAAAATTGCTTCCTTTATTCTGGGTCATGTGTAAGCTATTTTAATAGGAGGCATGTAGACGGTCGTCAGCCTAGGAAGTTAGAGGCCAAAATTGTGTAACTGGTTGTCAATGAATGTGGCCTGTGACCTTGGGCAAATTGCTGAATTGCTTGGTGCCTCAGTGTCTTCACTGCTGAGGTGGAAATAGTAACACTGTACCTCGGACAATTGACTTCATAAGGATGCTGTCAGGTTGTATTGCATCAAATTCTTCAAACCTCTCTGAATAAATAGAACATTATGCTGTCCTACTTTCTAGAATGTACTACCCTAGAGATGGCCCTGAATTGTCACAGAGAGATTATTCTTTGTCCCATGGAATGGTTCATTATCTGGGTAAATTCCATTAAATGCTTTTGAGAGAAGGGTTCTTTTTATGTAAATTGTTTCTAATTTTCTATGTACCCTCAGATATAAGCAGCATGAGTAATAGCTATCACATGTTTTATTAGTTAAATAAAAATGGCCTGTAATACTAGCACTAGCACTCTGAGAGGCTGAGGCAGGAGGATCACTTGAGGTCAGGAGTTGGAGACCAGCCTGAGCAAGAGTCAGATCCCTATTTTCATAAAATATGGAATAATTAGCCAGGTATGGTGGCTCAAACCCACAGTCTCAGCTACTTAGAAGACTAAAGGCAGGAGAATCATTTGAGCCCAGGAGTTTGAGGTTGCGGTGAGCTACGATGACACCACTGCACTCCACCCTTCCGCAACAAAGGGAGGCCCTCTTCCTCTGTCCCCTCAACCCCGCCAAAAATGGTCATTGTCAAAGAGACACTTTACAGGACGCTTTTTAAAGGTGACAAGACAGATTTCTATGTTGAGAACTGCAGGAGGGAAGAGACAGCTCCTATATCATCTGAGCTCAGCTCCAGCAAAGACAAAGGTAACCAAGGTTTTTAAAGGTAGAGAGAGAGGAAACAAAAAGGGATACGGGGAAGTAAAAAAGTGAGGAAAGAAAGAAGGGAGAAGGAGAATTTGTGACAATGAAAAGTTAGAGAAGGAGGTAAGTGGAGAAAATGGTCTTTGACAAGGCAGGTTGGTACAGTACACATTTTGTGATTTGATGACTTTGCATTTTCTTGAGCAGAGACTCACCAGGAAGCTGGTGTCTCTGTGTGTGTGTGTGTGTGTGAGTGTCATCCTTAAGGACATGACCTGAGGTAAATGGAAGCCAGGCTAAAGGTCAAGTATCTTAACATAGTGTTTGAGCAAGTCCTTTGTGGAGCATGGAGGTTCACAGTTTCCATGACTGGGGTAATTGTTGCTGTTCCCATGCCAAGACAACAGCTTTTCAAGTTTAACTAGATTAGATTAGGCATATTGTTTGGTCTAATATTCCTTTAGTAAAAAAGGAAAAGATGAATAGTTTAAGAAAATCAAGGAATATAATGACTTTTTTTCCAGGCACCATATCTGGAAATCAAGAAGCAGATGGATAAACAGGACCCCCTTGCTCATCCCCTACTGCAATGGTATAAAATTTTAGTTTTCCTCTTAATGAAAACAGCATTTTTTTTTAATTGCTTGCTTTAAGAAAGAAAGGAAAAAACAATCCTATTTTGCAAGCCCTCCAGTGCTACATAATTCTACAAGCCTATGAGTCCTGATGATTTTACAATCCAAGAGTCCTTAGTGACTCTCACTTTAATTAAAATTTGTACATCAAAAAGGGAAGAAAATGCTGTCATATGCACTACCAGGGAGATATATATATATACACACACACTGCGTTTGACAGCGGTTTGCCTGCAGTTGTAAAAGATGTGATTAAATTATGTGGTAAAGGCATTCTGGTTCCCTTAATTGTCTAGTCCAATGAGGACTAAGTGATAGAACTCACTACCTCAACCCTTGTGATTGAAAATCTTTCTAATTGAAAGTATGCCTTGTATATTTTGCTCCTTTAACAAGGACAGTATAAATTTGATTGACCCTTTGATTGATCACTGCAGAAGATACTTTGTTTCAGAATGAGCCTGATAAGAGAGCGTTAGTCCAGCAGGGGCTCTGGAGGGAAGGCTGGACTACAAACTGGAAAGGTGGCTGGATACCTCACCTTGCTATGGTGCCCAGTTCAAATAGTTTGCCCTCTCCTACTTCAAATAATTTAATTTGCCCTTTTATTTTCTTACTTGCAAAATGAAGTAAATAGTATCTACTCCAGCATAATTCACAAGCCTTTTGTGGACATGTCTCTGGTATCATTTTGAAAGCTTAAAGAGTGTGGGATTTAAAGGTTCTAAGAGATTAGTCTGGATGAGCAATTATTCCATGCTACAACCAGAAGTTTTAAAAGTGGGGTGGGGGTGGGGGACAGAAGATTCTTTAGTAAAGATTCTTTAATCTGCTATCAAACCTTAACTTTGTCCAATGGTTACAATACATGTTTAATTTAGTCTACCAAGACTATGACAAAAATTAGGGATAGAAGGCTTCCTCTTTCTCATGATTTGGGTTATTCTGATACATTAAATAGAATAACACATAATTTCCATTTAACCTTTTAAATTTTCTCATTGTCATATTCAAATAGACGGCACAAATTTCACCTATCTAATTGCTTTCTTTTTCTCCTTGAAGTCAGTCTGACGATTAACTTCTAAACATTTGTGATTATATCTCCCTGCAGCCTGTTAGTCACTCTACTTTCAGGGAAAGGAGAGTCTAGCAGCGATTAACTTCTAAACATTTGTGATTACTCCCTGCAGCCTGTTAGTCCCTCTACTTTCAGGGAAAAGAGAGTCTAACGAACATGTTCTGCACTTTTCCTAGTTATTATTTTATCCATTGAAAAGCATAAAACAGTCCCTTCTTTTACATACCCAAATTTACTTTTTTTCAACTATAGTGTCTAAATACGTTGAATTTTGTATAGAAATCCTTGCATACCTGAGCTTAAAGAGA